TCATTATTTATAATTTATTTGTTATTATTATTTTTTAAAAATTGTTACAGGGTACATACTCTCACTAGAGAGAGAAAGTGAGAAAGCACGCTGCCAGGTCTGGCACTCGAACTGTGGTCAGCCATGTGGGGAGTCCAACCCCGTAATCACCACTCCACTTACCAGATCCCCAAAATGATTTTTTAAAAACTTAAACCCAAATTTGTAGATTAGATTATCAGGAAAGTTGCTGGATTTAAGTAGAGACTACAGTTAAAATTGAAAACTAGGTTTGACAGGATATAGAAAAATGTAGGTTTTCTTCTTTTTTTAATAGAGGTTTTTGCCTTAGGGTGCATGTGCTTGCTAAGGAGAGAGAGACAGAAACTGTGAGAGAGAAAGTGAGAAGTCAGCCCCTAGTGGGATGGCCATGCTGCAACACCCCTCTCTTCCATTCTCCTGGGATCTTGGGCATGTATGCAAACGCCTCCCAGCCTGATTTTCAAACCACTGGGTTCACAGTTGGCCATGTGGGAGTTCAGTGATATAACCACTATGCCATCTGCTGGCCCCGAAAGATGTTAAGTTTTAAAGCGAAAGTTTTTGTTTTTATTTTTGCTATAAGGTGCATGCACTCACTGGAGACAGGAGGAGGAGGAGGAGGGAGGAGTTGAACCAGAGCAGGGAACCGCTAAGGTATTTTCTAAGGTTCTTGAAATATAAGGTCCATTTTACATTGTAATGGCCCAGAGTAAGGGGTAAGTCTTCAGACTTTGGTGATAACAAAACAACATTGACCATGAATAAGGGCCACCTGACCTCTAAAACTCTCACTTAAAGGGAAGATAAGGTTTTCATTTCAGTATGTAAGATGTAGGCTAGAAACTGCTGGCTGTGAGCTCTAAGACCCTGGGCTGAATAGCTCCAGAAACCAGAACAGAATTTTGATTAGCTAAGGCCTCACCAATCAAGAATGCCCTCTTGAACCAATCACTGAACTGGTCATGCATCTGGGACCTCTGCCCCTAATTTTGGCCTTAAAAATGCATGTGGAGAACATCTCCAAGAAACCGAGTCTTTCCGGCATGAGCTGCCTACTCTCCTTACTTTGCCCTTTGCGATAAAGTCGTACTTTCCTTCTTCACACCATTGCCTATGGTTTGCTTTTATGGTGCTTGGGCCAGCGAACCTGATTTAGATTCAGTAACAGGGTGAGAAAGCACACCGTGGATGGCAACACTGCAATCCCTTTTTCTCTATTTTCCTCTTGGGATATTGGTTCCATACATACTTGACATGTTTTTATATTTTCTTTTAAAATAATTATTTTATTTATTTTAAAAGAATTACATTATTTTAAAATTTGCTATAGGGCATGTGTGCTCACCAGAGAGAGAGAGAGAGAAAATGAGAAAGTAAGCCACCAGGTCCAGGACTCAAACCATAGTTGGCCATGTGGGCCATAGTTAACCACCATGCCACCTGCTGGCCCCCTTGGCATGTTTTTCAAGCTATTTTGCCCAGGACTTAAATCGTACATTCAGCCATGTGAGAGTCCAGCTGACTTAACCCCTATGGCATCTGCTGGGCCCTAAAGCGAAAGGATTTTTTACCTTAAAGATAGTTTGTTTCTATATCACTTATACAGTGTTAAATTGGTGGTTTTCAAATATCTTTAGGTTATGTATATTAGTTGTTTTAATAATTTGAAGTCTACTTATTTTTTATTTTGAAATTTTTTTTACAAGAATTATTTTGTTTGGTTTTTGGATTTTTTTTTTTTTTGAGCGGTTTTTACTATAGGGCGTGTGCACTCCCAGAAAGACAAAGAGACAGATAGAGAGACAGAAAGTGAGAAATCACCCCCCAGCG